TGGTACGGCTATAACCGAGGGGTAAACCACTTTAAAATCTTAGAGACAACCGTTCAATGTTAGTGGACGTTGTGTTGAGATTTTTTTCCTTAGCAGTCGTTATCAATAAGGAAAACTTGCTTAATCGGTGCTTAATCAGTGCTTAGCGACGCGTTGTAGATGACTACGCTTGTTATTGTCCTTAGCCGTTAATTCGTAAGCGATTTTTAATTTTAAAAAATCAGTGGTTTACCCCTCGGCTATAACATAAGTGCTTTTGTTGATGTTAATAAAATCTTATATTTTAATTAATTTATTCCGTTATTTTTACAATAAAATTATTACAAAAATCTCAGAAATCCTAATGATATTTTCATGTCCAATTTATAAAACGCGTAGGAAAAAGTACGTAAGTAAGATGAAGAGTAAAGCAAAGCGTTATCTGGGACGAGCGACCACTTTTGATTACTTTTACTGCGGATCAAAGTTACAACTTGGCGCCAACGGACAGACAGCAAGAAGAATATCTCGATTTGGTCGATGATTTTTTGCACGCATTTCCTTTTTTTCTTTTGCATCTCTTTTCCCCAGGTCGTTTAATCGGAATGCATCCACTTTGTACACTAGTACACTTAGTCACAGTGGGAAAAAGTATATTCCATCAGGATATCATTTATTTACTACTTAGAACTTTAAATATATATTTTTTAAATTAATCGCTGACACTCCGAAAACAGACTGCGCGCAGTAATTTTTTAAAACACTGTTATAGAAATCAGATTTGTTAAAATGATTGGTAATTTGTTAATTTTATTTTGTAAAATTTTAACATATTTTTTTGTAGAAAACCAGGGTTTGTTATTATTTTAACAAAGAAAAATATTTTACCGAAAGTTTTGTAAAGGTAATAAGCAATTTTGTAAGAATTTTGTTAATTTTAAAGGTTACAGATTATTTTGTTAATGTTTAACAAATTATTTTAGGCAGTCAATCAAAACATTTCCCACTGACAATACGCATCAACAAGTTCAACTGACTTCAGCGTCTGCAACTTACTTTACTTTATTCTAATTCATTACGTGTTCGTTACAACTGTCCAGAGTGTTTATAATATATTACCAGAAATCAGTTATTATTGTTATTCGGATTCCTTATACCTATTTAACGAGTGTGAAAAGTGCGAAGTATCCGAAAAAAAGATGCAATCACTGGTTTTCAAACTAAAATCATATACAGTGAAGTGGGTTTAAGTTACGAAATACATCCGTAAGTTTTAGTAGTACTGATAATTATATTGTACCGAATTTCTTTAAAATTTGATGATTTCAGAATGGTGTGTTATTTAATTGTGTGTATGTTATTTTTGTGTTCATTTATGTAGGTATGTGTTAATTTGTTTGTTTACGAAATTGATAAATAAAGCAACATTTCTTATCAAAATTCTTTTCATTTAAGTTCACAATTTTCAATAATAACTTTTGTTACTGGGTCTACAAAAAGGTTTTTAAAAGAAAGGTTCTTTTTTAAAATAATGGTTGAATTATTGAGGATTTTGTTATTTTAAAAATCTACAAAATGTTTGTTACCAAAACTACCAAAACTACTTATTGGTCATTTCACGTTACTCGGGGATTTTTGTCCCGCCCGTCACAATTAAAAATTGTGAGTAAAAACTACAAGTTATAAAATTTATTTAAAAATATTGTTTTATTATGCTTTTAATAAGTTATAAGCACAATAAAAATAATATTATAAAATATTAATTTTATAACTTGTGGTTTTTACTCACAATTTTTAATTGGGACGGGCGGGACAAAAATTACCGAGTAACGTGGAATGCCCCTTATTCGATTAGACTTAACATAATAAACTTAACATAAAGTAATGTGGACCTTGATTAACATAAAATCTGGTTAATATTTGGTTAAAATTAACAAATATTGTTTTACACATGTGTATGTGCATCTCAAACTCGCCTTTAGCATGTCTACGGTATTGCATTGGCTTCTTGAAACCTTTTCTTCAAGATTAACCACACTAAATAGTCGATAGCGTTCAAATCAGGCAAGTTTGGAGGCCTATTATTTTTGCCCCAAAACCATAATTTTAAATAAGTACTCGGTTGATTTTTGCATTCACAGAAGCTGGAAAATGGCTACAAGAGACTTTTTGTTGTTTGTAATTATAAGTCATATTTAAGTCAAATTAGTAGATTTAAATTTAAAAAAAGTTTTGACCCAGCCGGGGATTGAACTCAGGTCTGTCACTTGTCAAGCTTGTCAAGATGTTTTCATAACCCATTCCGCTATCAGCCGCTCTTATAAAAATCAATTTTATTTTTCAATAAATATTGTTCGTAATATTTTAAAGTTGAATATATTATTTGTGTTGCTGTTTTGAGCTAAACTTTTTGCATCTTTATTGTTTTTATGGGTCATTTAACCATGGAGCTTATGTATATGCATTTAATTCAAATAATCCTTTGTTGTTGGCCGCAAACGATTAAAGAAATTGGTTACTTTTAACACTCAGAAATAGTCAAAGATGGTGACTTATCTTAAATTAGTCATACTTTAACTATTTACGTAGTAAAAAATAACTATTTAAAAGTGAAAACGACTATTTTATTAGTAAAAAATGCTGGTACTAATTTAAATAGTAGAATTTTGACTATTTCATTTTTAGAGAGCTCTATGTTTATTCTGATTATTCCTAATTTCAAATTCAGAAATGTTAATGCCAATTTTGTATGTAAATTGATGAATTTTTAATGTGGAAAAATGGTGTGTAACAAAAAAATCGATAATTAATATTTAAAAGGTGTATAACGAAACATTATTTGTCCCACTGTATTCCTCTCATCTCATCTTCAGTGACTCCTGGCACTCGCATATTCTTAGTCTTGTTCGAATAGCAATTTACTGTAATTGCATGAAATTGCCACATTTTTATTTATTTATGGCTGGTAATAAGTTTCTTGACTTCCAAGAGAAACAATCTTCTTAACGGCAGCTATTTTAAATTAATCCCTCGGGGGATTCCTTGCTCAACAATTTCAATCTCCACTTATAAGTCATTGAAATTTTAATAAGTATTTGAATTTGATATACAATCGGAATATAAAGGGAAAACAGTTTAATTATATATATTTTTTAATTGTCAAAAAATGTTAAGAATTTAAATAAATAAAAAAAAATTAAAATTAAAAACTGAAAATATTGCAAATTTTGTAAATTTTTTTAAATTTTTACACATCTTATTTTTTTTACAAGATTTGGCCTCACAAATTTTAGCGCGATCGGATATAAAAAAAATTAAATTTTTTTGTAACAAATATTTTTTCAGATATAGGTAATCCAGTCTAAATGAATGTTTATGTAGTAACTTGGTGATATTGCGGTAATGTGCAGAATATTCAATATTCAATATTGCTCACTATAGTTTCTGGCAGTAGGTAGTACCTACCTATTAGGTACTTTTTAATGTGACAAAAATAACCATTACTGTTGTCAAAGTAACCTGTGAGGTTTTATTAGAAATTGTATGATTTGTAAAATTTGTTGTTCTGCGCATCAATGCGTTACATGGTTACAATCGTGTTATAATAATATAATAAACATAAACAGTAAAAAATATTTGTTATAACAGATTACAGTTGGTTGTAAAATATATTTTCCTTTTAAAAATAATTACAAACCCTGGTTTTCTACAAAAAATTACGTTAAAATTTTACAAAATAAAATTAACAAACTGATTTTTGTAACAGTATATTGAACTAGGAAAGAATTTATCGAAAATTACAACCTTTTTATTTTTATGAAATTTTCAAAATTTTGAAAACAATAAAAGTTTTTTATTGTTTTTTAATTTACAAAATTTACAAAAATGTATTACCCACATAAATAGGTGCTCTCTAAAAATGAATTAGTCAAAAATGACTAATTTAATAGTTATTATTTTTCACTTGTACCATGGTATCCCAAAATTTAACAGCCAATTCTTATGTAAAATTGTCCCCTGAATCCGAAAATACTATCAAAAGTTATGAAAGTGGAGCAGTTTTTGAGATATAGTCAATTCCTATTAAATGGAAAATTGACTATATCTTAAAAACTGTTCTACTTTTTAAACTTTTGACGACAGTTTCGGATTCATGGGACAATTTTACATAAGAATTGGCTATTAAATTTTGGGATACCATGGTTAACCATGGTACAAGTGAAAAAGCAGCCACTAATAACTATTAAATTAGTCATTTTTGACTAATTCATTTTTAGTTTCGTAACTATGCTTGCCAGAATGATAATTTAATATAAATTAAATTTTAAACGTTAATAAACATATGAACTATTTCATTTACGAATTTCATGCATCAGAGCTTTTTTTAGAGCGTTCAATTCTCTAGGAATCCTTGTATTTTTCATTATTTTCTGTATATTTGCCAAGAACTTAAATTTAAAAAGCAAAACAGTTTTTCCCATCTTATTAAGTAAGAATTATATTTTAATATAAGCTCTAGTAAATTGTTTTCCTAATTAATTGTGCGATTTCATTTGCAGGCTATAGAAGTATTTGGATTCAGGGAATCTGGTTTAAAATAAAAATAGCCTGCAAATGAAACTGCACAATTAATTAGGGAAACATTTAACTAGAGCTTCCAACAAAATAAAACTGTTTTAAATTGTATGTGTATACGCAAAAAGCGCAGTTTAATTTAATTTTCTAAGAGCACTTTTATACCGTTTTTTCTAAACATCTAGTCAACATACTTCTTTTAAAACTGCTCCGTTCATTTAATTAAAAAAACCTTCATTAAAAACTGTATATAGATATAAAATTCAATACATTTAAAATACTTCGAGCATGTATTAATTTAGCAGCGTCTTGATAAATCAAAAATTCTTCACGCGAAAATATTGACTTGGCGCAGTCGATGAAAAGATTTAATGTAATTAAAGAAATTCTTGTCGTTCAACTTTTGGCCCCGTCACCTAATTGAATTTTACAAACTCGATACTCACTTTAAATATTTTCCTGCAGCCTCTGAAAAATGAAAAAAATAATATTATTTAATTTATGAAGGGGTTTTACATGCATTTACAATAATTTAAACACAAAAATACGTTAATACCACAGACCTTGTTTGTGATAATACCTAATATTTTAAATGTGGCAACACTGTCCGAAAACATTAATTACTAATTACTACAGTTATTAGTGGCTGCTTTTTCACTTATACCATGGTATCCATTACATTTAACATCTAATTTTTATGTAAAATTGTCTCCTGAATCCGAAAATACCGTCAAAAATTATGAAAGTAGAGCAGTAGACATAGTCCATTCCATGTTACATGGAAAATTACCTTTATCTCAATCACTGTTCTACTTTTCTAACTTTTGACGACATTTTCGGATTCAGAGGGCAATTTTACAAGGATACTGACTGCTAAATGTTCGGAATACAAATTGCTATTGACGAGAATTAGTGGCTGCTTTTTCGCTATGAGAATTTTGACTAATTCTTCTTTAGAGAGTAGGCTATCAAAACTCGTTATGTCATTTTTTAGGCAAGTGTTGCCAGATCACACAGTACAAAATCACCAGAAAAGTACTGGGAGCTTTATTCTGAAATTGGTGAAGAATGAATTCTTTGTTAATTCCAAACAAACTGAGTTTTGTCCGCATTGAGCAATCAAAGAGCATTTAGGATCCATCTTTTTTTCAGATATTTTTGAGGTTGAGTTATTATTCTTTTGAGATTTACTGGTCGCTTCATTTTATTTGTTTCCTAAAAAATTATGCAATTTGGAGAAAACGCATTTTGTAAGTCTGAAAAAATTTTCTTTGATATTCTTTTGAGGTTAAACTTTAAAAATGACAAATTTTCTTGGGGATGGAATAAATTGGTCTTAAAATACAGAGTTATATTCGGTTTACGAAACATAGGTGTTCGTTATAAAAAAAATGAATTATATAAATGAGCTGTTGCCAGCTCGTTTTTGTGTATCCCTTTCCCTTCTTTAATAAGTTTATTGTCTCTAAGAAATTTTATTTTCTGGGTATTAATTAAATATACTTTTTGTTGTTCAATATAGAATTTCATTAAAAGAATGCCTAATTTTTTAATCAATTGACCATATGCATGGAATGCGGTCGATGTTGCCAATGGTAAAAAAATAAAATTCCCTATTGGGAACATTCAATTATATTACGTTGGCTACATTGAAAATTAGAATTTCCCGCACAAACTAAATTAATTTCCATCTTTTTTTTAATAATAATAAATAATAATAATTCCCACATTTGAAATTCGCACCTTAATTTATTATACAACATTGGAACTACCTTCTTTATCTCTGGGTCAGTTTGTGCGGGAAATTCAAAATTTCAGAGTAGCCAACGTAATATAATTGAATGTTCCCAATAGGGAATTTTATTTTTTTACCATTGGCAACATCTACCGCATTCCTTGCATATGGTCAATTACAAAACTAATAATTAAAATTGGTTATGTTCATGGTCAAAACAACACTAAATTTTGTAAGGTGAACGTACTTAAAATTGTTAATTAATATTTCCGACACAATATTTCAGTCATTGATTTGGTCGCTATCAATGTCAACTTTTATATTGTCTTTATTCAGTACTTCAAGTATATCAAAATGATAAGCTCGAACTTATAGGAATAGCTTTGAAATACGAGCACCTACGTGATACTTTTTGATCATTTTAGATATACGTGAACAAACTTCGATAGTCAAGTTTACTTTAGGTAAAGATAAAGTCCCAAATAATACATGCATCTTTATTTTTGTTATGTCATATTTGTATTTATGATTTAAACAAAGCACAGCGAATAGTGTTCGAATCAATAGTCGAATAGTTCGAATTGTAGCTTGATATATTTACGTTATTTTGTTAAAATAAAATAATAAATATTGCAATAAAATAATTGTCAAAATGGCTCTTAATCAACTTTTTGACACGCGAAAATTGGTTATTACGATCATTTTAACTCTTGGCGCGCGCCCAGTCGTAATTTATGTAAAGATAAATTCTGTGACCAATTAATTAGCAATCTAGAAAAGTTGTCCAAAATGGCTGTCGATCAGTCTAATAATAATAACGCAATAAAGGAAAACATATATTGTAGAATGGCATAAATATATATCTGCAATTTTACGATATTCGAAACTGATTGCCGTATCGATTTTAATGAAAGGTCCGTGATAATTAAAGCAAAAGGGAAAAATTAACGAACGAACAACCCAGTGAACAGAGAACAAGGAAATTAATACTTACTTTGCATTCATTTTTCATTTTTAAAAGAGTTGATTGTTAACATTCTTTGATTTATAAAATTTCAAACAGTTCCTAGTTTTATTAATTAGATTTATTTTAATAAACTTTAATAAAAACAAATTTTGGAACAAAACATTTCTCTGAATAAATGCTTTAACTTTTCTTCATAAAAAAATTAATTTTGTTAGATAAATAAATTTTAAGTGTAAAATAAAATATACTTTGCAGAAGCAAAACTACAACTTTTAATAAGCTGTCAAACGCGTATGTTACAAACAAGTAGTTTTGAGAATGATGCCGGAAAATGTTAAAAATATCGAGAGAAAAAAAGGTGGTTGTGGTTGTTTTTCCAAAGGAAATCCTGGGTTGAGTTTTTACCAGTTTCCCAATAAACAGTGGAAATCCGAATGAATAAATAAATTGAATACAGTCCCTGTAAATATAAATTGTACCTATTAGATACAATAAATGCACATTTTCGTAATGAAAATTATAAACATTTCAATTCAGGGTATTTCCATTGTAACGGGTGCGACACTAAGACTACGTTTTTCTATGATGATGAACTGTTTGTTTATATATATAATATATATAATATACGTTAATACATGTGCACAAAAATAGTATAAAAAATTAGTATATAGTAATAATTGTTTTTGTAAAACTTGAATAGTAACCGACCAAAAAGTTCGTTCTTTTTCAAAACGACATAACTTTTTCGTTTCTTGAACGATTTTATTTTGGTCTGTGATGTCTCTTAGCCCCATCCTCTGGCAATTCATAATATATATATATATATATATATATATATGAAGCTTAAGGTTCTTCAAGTAAATTTCCTACAGGGTGATATGTTAAACGGTGAAAAATGTCAATAACTTTATCCAAGCCCCTTTTGTAAAAAAATAATTTTTTTCTCGTTTTTACATTGAAATAATGAAGTATTATGTCTTACCTTGAAACAATTTTCAAATTTTTGTAATTGGAATCTTAGCAACGAAAATATGATTTTTTTTACAAAAGAGTACATTTAAGGCTTTTTTGTAGGCAATTTAACAGCCGGGAATTGTTTTCGAATTTTGATTCTTAGTGATTTTAGTTTTATCTAAAACTTAAATTTGACAACTGAATCACAATCAGGAGGTCAAAATTATAAAGAAAACATCTCACGAACGTAAATATCGGTTCAGGATTAGTTTTCGCAAATTTTCACCAAAATGTCATTTTGAAAAGTGGTCTTTGCTTAGGCCCCTCTGAAAATAATGGAAGTTTGGTGCTTGTCGCTTGTTCAGAATTATTCAAGGAACAATCTTTCACCATCTAATCTCCTTGTTCTTAAAAGGACTGAGTGTATTGCATACCAAAAAGCCTTAAATGTACTCTTCTAAAAAAATCAAATTTTCTTTGCTAAGATTCCAATACAAAAAATTTGAAAACCTTTTCAAGGTAAGACATAATACTTCAATATTTCAAAGTAAAAACGAAAAAAAAATTATTTTTTTACAAACGGGGCTTGGATGAAGTTATTGAAATTTTTGACCGTTTTACATATCACCCTGTACGAAATTTACTTGAAGAACCGTGAGCTTCATATCTATAGCATGAATTGTCAGAAGATAGGGCTAGCAGACATTACAGACCAAAATAAAATCGTTCAAGAAACAAAAAAGTTATGTCGTTTTGAAAAAGGACGAACTTTTTGGTCGCGACACATTGAGTGGTGCGCAGTTTATTTGACTTTAGATATAATTTTTATTTTCTTAAGTAATACATCTGATTTTTTGTCAAGGTGAGGATAAGGTTTGGCGGAAATACCCTTCAGTAAAAATCATAAAACAAATAAGTCGTCTAAATTTAAACAGCGTTCTGCAGTATTTGATTGAGAAAGTCTCTACTTAACGGTAAAAAAACCAAAAGCGGGTATTTTTTTTAATATATATAATATGTATTATATGTAATATTAATTGGCATGAATTCTTAGATTTTGTCGTTTAGGTACTATTTTAAAAGATAGCTGTCGGCTTTTTTTTAGAGGAAATATAAAAATGTTTGATTTTAAGGTTATGTTTGTACAACTATTATTCTTTGTTGGATTTTTTTTAAATGTCCAAACTTAAATATAAATTATGTTAGGTGAACTTATCATTAGTTAATTCTGCACCAACAAATATAGGTACGTACCAAATTTGATCCTTCGGCAAAACATGAAAATGCAATGATTTAGTTCTTGACTTACATTAACAATTAAAAACACAATTTTTCACCATGATCACTTCAATAAAATACACACACTAACGTAACTATATAAGCATAGCGTTGATTTTTTTAATTAATGATATAAAAAATAATAAATCGTAATTGAGTACTAAACCAAAGTTTTGCAGTTTTTACTAACACAAATAAAATGAGAGATGTAGCTGTGCAATTAAAACTTTGCGGACAAAATTTGTCAAGTAAGCCTTTCTCTTGTTTGTGAAAAAACTACTTATTTATTTTAACTTTACAGTTCGTATGCTTTAAATGTATTGTTTACAAACCTTGTTATCCAATAATGCTATCGAGCGCCACCAGATGGCGCGCGCGTTTCTAAAACCGCATGCGTTTATATTAAAAAGTTTAAAAGTCAAGTTATTATTAAACTCCGTACAGAAATAAAGCTAAAATGTCATCATGTCAACCTAAAAATGATTTGACAGAATTATAAGAAATTATTTAATTTAATGCTTGAAAAAAATAGTA